GTTGCATGTCATCCAAATTAATAAATAACTCTAAAACACATTCAACTACATATATGTGCATGTTGCCTTACAGTCCGATTGGAAGGTCAGTTCAAGTCTAGGTTCAAGACCATAAACATAATACCTGCTAAACATTGACATGTTAGCATTGTCATTCTGCTAATGTTAGCATTTAGCTCAAAGCACAACAGTTGTGCTTAAAAACAGCCTCACATCATGGCTGTAGACTCTTAGTCTTGTTTTAACATATTCAGGAGAATAAAGTAAAAACTTCTTCACATGTTATTCTTATTTACTCTTTTAACTGGTAGTCCTAATTACACAGTGAAGGAAAAATAGGTACTTGTCATTGCATGCACTCTAATGAGCTTTAGTTTAAGACCTCTCATGTTGAAGATTGCTACTTTTGCTACAGTAAATGTAACCTGCGGTTAGCGTTCTACAGCACTTTAAGGTCATCATTAACTGAATATTTGAAACCCTGTGTTTTACTTTCTCACCACAGACCTGCCCAGCTTCCCAAAGCAGTGCCATACAGAATAAACAGGGTCACAATAGTGACCGGTGTGCAGCATCCCTGAAGCCCTTCCTCGGGCTGGTGACAGCTTATTTTCTGAGCCACGGCTTCAGCACTGAGAGAGCAGAGGGCCCGTAATGATCAGCTTTTAGTGCTGGCATAGGTCGGCTGATTAAGCCATCAGGCATCATTAGACCCTGCTGGCAAAAACAATCTCTCCAATCTCATTGGTGCTCCCAAACAGGAGAACTCTTTGAGAGAAAAACATCAGAGGACACTTTAGCTTGTGTGGTGTGTCAGGAATACTTTGGTCAGGAACAATGAGGTAACATTCAGCGGTCAAAGACCCTCTACTTCTGATGATGTAGCTCTTTATGATGCCTTTGAAAAGCATAATTCATGTAATATGAGACACCTGGTTGTCAGGTGCTTGCTAAAATTATTCTAAAAAAACAGAAAGCAAGGGCTGATCAACAGCAGGAAGACATGGCATCATAATACTTTCAACTAAACAGAGGAGAGGCCCTGAAAAGGTCCTAATGATCTTTCTGCAGACACAGCGACAGGTCCATTATTCCTACTAGGCATGTCCTTTCCTAGAGCATTTTTAAAAGTGGTGAGTTATATATTTATTTTACTTCAAAATGCCTCAGCTAGTCTGTGGATACAACCTCTCTCAAATGTCACAACTAAACAAATTGAGCCGGGCTGACAGAGATGAATAAGGCTGCTGCAGGCGCTGTGTCCAGAGTCTCTGGGTTAATAAAGTACAAGTACTACAGAATGCACAGATCTTCCATCTCTGGCACACTGACTGTATAATGTATCACATCAAAATGCATAAGGGTATGATGAGTGTTTTTCATAGCCAAGATGTCAAATTAATGTGGTTATGTTGTATATTTCAAATGTACTCAGTGTTTGGTTACACAACACATCTGTTGTCAATTTATCAGCTGCAGTAATTATTCAATTTTATGTAAATCATTATTTATCAGCATAATGTAACTCTTTGTTGATAGAGTTTTTTGTAGAGAGAAGACAGCCCTTTCTTTCAGCGGGGGTCTTGACACAACATGTCTCCAACACCTTTCCTCAGAAGCATTAGCAGAGCGCTCCGTGTTAATTTGGCCTGTCTTGACCAATCAAGGCCAGGTTAAAGAACAATTTGACGTTAAGCGTTTTAAAATTCTCACTGAGGGATGAAAATGAGTTCTGACACATCTGTGAAACACAGAGACAAACAGGGACCATGTAGAATTCAATGAGGCAGCTTATAATGAAGGTAGGTTTAACATTTATTGTCTCTACAACTAACATTTATATTACAAATAGTGTTTTGACTAAATGTTCATATTGATCAATGGAATATTTCTTTGTATTGACTAGATGTTCACCAGCCCTTTTCAAACATTGTTTGTATTTTTTGTGGTTGTGTATATTTAAAAATCTGACTTTGAACATCAGGAGTCATTCCCAAGATCACCTATGCTCACTGTTTTTGCAACAAGAAGTCAGACATTTAAAAAAAACATGAATCATAGGCCACATGCAGACACAAATATTAATAACAAATACACACATCAACAAAAGTTTAAAAGTTAACTTTGAAGTCGTTTTTCTCCTTATAAGGAGCTATCAAAATGGAAGTCTTTGTTATTTTCATACACCGGCACATATGAAGTCACATTTAAATTTGAATTACACAGTTAAGCCTGAGCACTCCTCTCCGTCCTCCTTCACATCAAAAGGAAAGCCAATAAAATGCTTTGCTTGCAGGCATCAGCTTTGATGTTTGCTCCTCTGCTTGCTCATTTGAGCCCGGGGGCATGAAGTCAGGAGTGGACAGCACCTCTACTGACATCGTTTTTTATAACCTCAGCCCCGGATGTACTGATTGGCATCATAGGCTGTTTTTTTTGTAGCAGCATATGATTCTCTATTCTTCAGAATTATTATTTATTTACAGTCTAGTTATTCTCCCACATGCTGTAAGTCTAAAATATGTCATTTTGATAGGGAGCTTTTTACTGCGTAAGAATTAAAGATACTAGGTGATGAACTGTAATCAAGTAAGCCCACAGGAGCCTTTGTCTGTTCAGCATCGTTAACACGAGCGGCGGAGAAGACTTCACAGCGGTTGCGAGAACATGTAATTACATTGCTTAGAAATGTGTGGAACTGTAACTCACCATCAAGGGGTGTTTTCATGAGATTATGCAGCCTCGTTCAATAAAAACTAGGATGGATCATTGAAGGGCTCTTTTCACTGCCTATAAAGGGGGAAAATGTCATCACCGTTGCCTTAAAATTCCCACCTGAACATGAATCAGCACTGTGAACCTATGTTAACTCAAGTCTTTACACCTGTGAAACAAGCATATTTATGAGCCATTATCTCCTATTCATCCTGTTCAGGAAGATAATAAGACAGTTACCCAGTCGAGGTATGACTAAACTGAGTAGGATTTCTATGGATCATTATTGTAGGTTATTTAAGAATTCTCACATTTCACTTAAGATTTTAATTGTATGATTGCATAGTGCCATATAATGTGGATGACTTACTGCAGGCAGTAAACTTCAACAAGAATATCCAGAGGAGTGTTGTATCATTTTATCTTTTCAGATCTATTGCCAGCTTTTTTCTCATAAATTCACCATGAACCAGTAATATGTAAACTTCATGCCCTACACTTGTCACAGGGGAAAGGCCAAAATGTGCTTTACAAATGTTAAAAATAAGAACATGAAAACAGTCAAAAGTGACTGCATTTTTTAATAATCTACAACACATTTAGACACACTAGAAAAGCACAAAGGAGCAAAAAGGCCAGTTCAAAACAAATAAGTTAGTGTACAGAACAAAGGCCAGAAAGTATGAGTGTATACGTGAATATATTATGCAAGTCATTTGTATAATGATAGAAACTGCTATTATAATGATATGCCTTTTGCTTTCGTGATTCAGCAGTCAGCCAATTTGAAAATACACAACCGGAGAAAATCTGCCACTTCCTTATAGAGCCCCTCCTCCAACACACACGAACACGCACATGACCAATGAGGGCACGAGATAAGTTTGTGCACAGATGGAAGGCTGACAGGCAGGTAGGCCATCCAGTTATTTTAGCCGGGCTGGCTAAAATGATTGGTCGTACTTTTTACAGTATTACGGCTTCCACAGATGACATTTTTTGATGGATTTTTGGCCAAAGCATTTAAGATATTCATTGCTATCGGGATGTTAAGAGCATTCCATGGAATATAACAAAAAGTGTATCTCGAGCCGGTTTCTCAAACTTACCTACCCCACCTTTAAGTGTTGGTAATTTGTTTGTTTTGTTGTTTGTTTTTGCTCAGCGGTGTGATTGGCCATCTTTTCACAGCCATTTCAAAAAACATTAGTAATTTGAACTGCTTCAAACAGCAGGATATTTCACCCGCATAATTATCCATCAGTTCACTCCTAGGGACTGTGGACCCGGTTAGAAAGTCAATATTTGATTGTGTCCAGCACCTGCACTCCCTACTGCAGTAAGTGGTTAAAAAAATACACATATCACAACGGTTGTACATGCCAGAAGGGCTGAGAGAGCGTGTGGTAATTGTAGTGTGACTGATTGAGGGCCGACGCTTGGTTTTTGTTGAAGCAAGAATCGAAAACAGGGTTGATAAGGTCACACAGAAAACACTTCATTATCGCAACATGCACTACCAGTCGTGTTTGTGCATTTAAAATCAAACAGTGAGGTCTGATTAGTTTCAACCGTACACCTTATTTACATTTAGATTTTGTTTTAATGTTTTATTTTATGTGTTTTCACAATCCAGACTATGTACTATCTGCTGCTGTTCCTGACAGCGTTGAGTGAATACGGGGGTCTCTTCTAATTTATTTACTTTTCCATCTTACTGACATGTTTAACAACTTGTGATAAGTCACTGTAGCATCTCCCAGAGCTTGTGACTAGGAATTAATAAGGGCCACAGTCTGGTTACTACTAAAACATGTACAAATGTGTGAACTAAATCATATTTATATGTTTAAATATTTGTTTTGTCTACTTATTTATCTATAAAGTATCAATTCATTTTTGTCATTTGTATAAAAAACAGTAATAAGCCAAAATTGTGCCACTTTTTATTGTAATAGTTTTCCAAATTGGAATATTAAATGTTGGCTTACGCAATATTTATTTCCCCTTGAGTATTTATTTAGCCAGAATACAGGAGATGCGCACATTACAAGCTGTGCTCTGTTACCTTGTAAGATCGAGACTGGAAAAAATTGGCTTTCATTGTAGGAAGTTACATTTGTCTGTGCATTGTACCATTTATAATGTTGCTTGATTTTGAGTATATATTTAAATATTCACCCTTAAATATTTCCACAATTTCTTTGCATTAATTGTTTAATAAAATATGACCTTTTCCCTATTAGGTATATTCACGAAATAAATAAACTGTGATAACCATCCCAAATGATATATCCATGCTTTATTGTTTACCCTGAAAGAAACAGCTACATACATACATACATACATTGTATACATAAATAGATACATAAATAATTAATATTCAAACAGACACACTGTGTCAGTGAAGTCCATCGATGCTGCATGTCTGACAGGTGTAGATGTTATGTACAGCTGAGGTCTACTACAGTTCATGTGGAGCTGGCAGGGAAGGAGTACAGGAGGCGATGTGGACACTGTTAGCAGGAGGTGAACGTTTTCCAGAAGAAGTTTTTACAGGGGGCTTTGCGGTCGCGCTGCGGCAGTGATAGCCTGTTGTAGACGGCCCTCTCCTCCAGACGGGACTCCAGCGGCTCCTCCAGGTCCAGGGGTCCGGCCTCCTCCGGCAGCATGTTGGTGTCCAGAGCTCCGTCCAACAAGCCCGACACCAGCTTCAGGATCAGCTCCTTTCGCTCCTTGCTCAGCTCCTGACCAAAAATCTGAAACATATATAATTATTAAACATATAATTAAAGAGATTAGGTCATGTGAAAATGTAAAATCTTGTGATCTTGGGTATTATCATTTTTTTTAAGAGGCTGAATAAAAGACTATTAACTTTATAACAGGTTAATAAAATGTTCTTGGAAAATATATTTGTATTCCAAATAAATTCTTTAAAATTCAAACTCAAAATATCACAAGCTATTTATTTTTGAGGATTTTAAAAATAATCTGGATATTTTTTAAACTTAAACATTTTTCCCTACAAAAGAATTGTCAAATCTATCAATAATAACTTTTAAAAACAAGAAATACATTTTGTATAAAGGATACATCAACATTTTCCTCACCCTGTTCAGATGGATGGAGCTCCTGTCCTCCACAGGAAGCACGGAGGCTGCTCTAACACTGTAAAGGACCCCCATGAGAGCTGCTAACACCACCAGGAGCTGCATGCTGTGAGAGGAGTGCAGTTGACGGAGCAGATCTAAAGCCAAAAGAGCAGGAGGCTCACAGAGATGGGAGAATGAAGGTAAGAGAGAGAGAGGGAGAGTCTGAGCAGCTCAGAGATCCAGAGGAGACTGGTGGAGAAAGTGCAGCGCGGCTGGTGGTCACCACTGATGATTCTTCTGCTCTACCTCCAAAGTCCCTCACCCTTTTATACCCCTTTCTGCCACTGACGTACAGTGTGGTGGGTGGATGATAGGGGGTGTATGTGTGAGTGGGTTTAGGGGTGGGGGGTGTTTTTGTGAGCGTGGAAGAGGAGGGGAGATGAACGGTTCAGGACAGAACAAATGGAAGCGTCGAACACTTAACCTTTTTGACAAATTGTGAACATCTGCAGAGGGCGACGACGTCATCGGGCTAAAAGCAGGTTTTGACATCAACATGTCACTAATGTATAGACAGTTATGAAAGACAATCTCAAACAAGACCTCTTCAGGGGGTGGACGGACAATCCCACAACTCATCAACCGCCCCGAACACTCAAAAGTAAAATGGTAATTTCCCTTAAGTGGTAATCAAAAAAATCCCAAAGCAATACAAATGGACCACAAGCTGACTTGTCATTGTTATCTCAGCATCCCCTTGTATTGCTCAGTGCTTCTGTCAACATCTGATTCCTGTCACAGTGCCTCTACGAGCCTCTCTGACACCTGCAGATTACAATTGAACGGTCTGACACTTACTAAGACTGAGGAAGTGCCTTGAGGAAATGTATCCACCTTAGCGGAGTAAACACAGTTGGTAAAAAGAAGAAGGACCAATTTATTTTGCTTTTCTGAATCGAACACTATACAATGGATTTTGTTCAGTTACCATCAAATAAAAAACTGTATCCCAACTAGTTTTACAAAACAAAAAAGATGTCTGTACTCTCGTCTAGCAAGCCACAACGACTGTGAAAGTACAATAATTATAATGTAAATGTACTATAGCTGCAGCTCAATTAAATTCACACTATATTCTAAGCTGTGCGGATTAGTGAGAAATGGTAAAAATGTGTCATTTACCTATTTTCTTACCCAAGTCTTTCTTATAAATTATTCTTCGGAGGTTTATATAAATATTACATAAGGCTTAATATTATATTACATTTGAATTTAGCAGAATACATTAAAGTCAACAAGTGATTATATTTAGGATGTATTTGTCTGATAGAAGTTAAGCAGAAACATATGCATATTACATAGACTTGTTTATTTCTCATTATTGTGGCCATTGTATGCAGCTAAATAGCATCATTAAATGTAGTTCAGTTTATAAAAGAAAGATTTGTCTGAGCTATTTCTAATCTGCTGTAAAATCCAATTAGACTGGTTTATATGAGTTAAACCACTCACCCAACAAATTGTTGGTGACAGCAAAAACATACACCATTGTTGGAGAAGAACTTGTTTCAAATGTTCAAGCAGCCCTCCGGCATAAATTGCTGAATTACCACAACTGACAGTTTACTGTTGTGACGTCTTTAGACGGTGCTACTGGCAGGGAACATACAGTACTTATACTCTAGTCGATATGTTTCAATTGATTTGTTGTGCTTTCAAAACAGTGTTTGAGGTATTTTCTTCCATACACTGCTAAATCTCAACATGGCCCGGAGGCAAACCCAAGATTAGCTGGGTTTTGAAACTGCTTTATATTTGCAGTTCAGTGTATCTGCAGTCCAAACTGAAAGAGACTTCAAGCTGTGAGGAACGTCAGCATGACGACAGGTCTGGGTGCTCACAGATCTTATTAATGTGCGTGGAAGTCTCCATTTTCACTACATCTGAAATGTAGCCATGTATGGCCTCATGCAACACTTCAACAGCTCTCTGATAGGGATCACAAAGGAACATTGAATATGAGATCATCTGAGGATTGGGTGTGGAGTCGTATCTATGAAATAGATGGATCCAGACATATGGGTAAAACTTGTCAAAATGCACCAGAAATGTCTAAATTTAACTTGCATTAAAGTTACAAAGGACAAGAAGGTGAAATGTCTTCAAAGTTCTGTCACTGCAGAGTATTGTCGTTTAAATGGATAAACATACATTTTAATACCAACAGTTACTCTTAAAGGGTCTTAATGTAAGACAGTGGACGTTTCTATTCCTATATTACTGCAGTGAACATTCATGAACATGAAGAACCTTGAGTACATCCACTGTAATGCACTATGAAAGCAGTATGGTAATAATGTACTGTGCTGTTGCAGGTTGCTCACATTTTAATAGAAAACCAGTGACGGCTGAGGTCTTACACAATAATGAAGGTTGATGCAACTTAGGGCAACAGTGACATTTTCCATTGCAAAACACTGACTGATGGGAACAATTGAAAGGCGCCAAGGGGCTTTTCATCTAAATTCAAAGAAAACCAAGTTTAATTGAAATGCATTCCTTTACCATCATATGCATAACAGATTAAAGAACGCCATCTTGTGCCTGAATACTGAAACTGCACATAACCATTACTGCAACTCTGTTCATACCAGTACCTGCAGGACTATGTTCAGGGTTAACCATTTTCCATGAACACATCACATATTAACCTGCATTTGGTTGGAAAGTGATGCTGCTATTGGTGAAGATTAGTTCAGAAATATAAGACAGGTTTAGTGGATAGAGATCTTGAACACAATTTTAACTCAGTTTTTCCACTGTCCTTTACAGATTTAAAATAGCACTGGGTCTTTTTCCTGCAATCAACTATGGTATTTTTAAGGCACGATATATTTAAAAGATATCAGCATTATAAACCAGAAAAAAAATATTAAATGTATTCCTGCATTTAGCTGTTATTTGCAAAGATAGAAGCGTATGCACATGAGTAAACCCATCAGTGGTGGAATACACACAGATTTCATATAGCCATTTTATTTTAACAGTTTATTAGTTCTTTAAAAAAATCAAATTCATTGCTCATGTATGAAACCATTTCTCAATAGATTCAATGTGGACTTGAAGCGAATGAGTACTGAAGATCAGAGCCGGTAAGGACTACAGGCTTACTACAGAACACAAGTACCACTGGTAGTCAATACCCAATACTTTAAGTGAATATCATATTCAAGTGAATATCATATTAAATTCACATCTTTAAAAAATGTCTTGCTTTGTAAAGCTCCATTAGACTGCTGATTCATTTGTATGTTTAACACTGTAAAATTAAAGACTTTCATTTCCAACATATGGTAAAAGCTGAGCCACTCTATTTCATCCTTAATTGGTATTATTATAAAAGGGATACTTTTCTCAACAATGGACACTTGAGCTTTCTTCTAGGCCACTTTATGTGCCTGGTACACTTTGATAGATAAAGAACAAGTTTTCAAACAACAAACAACCAATTTCAGGCACTATAGGGTTCGTGTGTAGAGTAGACATATTTTGAATATACAGTCATGACAGATGGCAACTCTGCATTTTCCTATGAGCACAAACCGATGATTAACATTACAAATAAAAGAACAGCAATACATTACATGTACATATCCATGTAGTAAGTAACGTATTACATAGTGGGTAGATGCAGTGAGTTCAATAGACAGTACACAGTTTCAGAGTGAGGTTAGGTTTCCACCGCAATGCTCTTCCTGCTCGGACCAGCCCATTATTTAGCTTCTGACAAAAATGCTGATAAGACATTTACAGATTTAAAAAAAATTGAAAAACCAAAATATACATCAGTATATTTAAATAAAAGACTGTAAGACTGGAAGGAACAAAACATTGGAACACTATTTAACTGAGCAAGGTCCCACCCGCTGATTATTATATGCCTCCACCTGTGAAAAGTTGGAGGCTACTCTCTCCTGTGTTACTGATCTGTGTTGAGGAGCAGAAGACGTGGAGCATCTGCAGTCTGAGGGCCAGGTAGAGGAGGAACATGGTGGTCGCTTGTTGCTGGTCATGCTTCATTGAGAACCTGTAAATGGTAAAGAAGATAGCGACTGAAAAGTAGCAAAAATGTGTTAACAGTTTAAAGTGAACTCGAATCAAATATAAAAAGTAACATTAATAACATTTACCTTTCTAGCGAACTCTGGCAGGACGAACGATGCTTTGTGAATTTCAGGGTTGTAATATTTAAGGTTCATACTTTCCATTTCTTCTTTTGACAATGCTGTCATCGGTTCCAGGAAATTTGTTTCCTAATTCAAAAGTGAAAGTGCACTCCAGTCATTTGATGGACATTACCAATGACCATGAAAACAGCAGACATGTTTATTGTGCTTCAGATTAGGTTTTACAATAAGCAAGTGGCATGTAAAGTCTATCAGACAACAATCAGGAAATTGGCGGATGGTAAATGGAGAATGACTCGCACACTTACAGGATTTGTACTGCAGAGCATGAATCCAATTTGGCCACTGGGATAAGTTGGGATAGTGGTGTAGGCGTAGTCCACCACAGGGAATAGGGTCTTGCAGAAGGTTCGCATCTCCTTTATCAGCTCCAAATGGAGCCATTGACACTCTCCTGTGAATATGACAAGAGAGCGGAATAAGGGCATGTTCATTTCCTGCCCTGTTTCTTGTAGGTGGACGACTATATTAATGGGAACACGACACTTTGAGGTGTTTAAAAAAACAAGCTATCACCAGTATTTTAAACGTACCTCAAAGTAGGATGTACATTGATATTTAGTAGCATAGGTATGACTTCTACTCAAGTCAGCACTTTACTAATTTACATATCAGACATTTTCTTACTGTTAACACAAAACTTGGGTGAAATATAAAATTACCCTGCGAACAAAGAATTCCACCGGTTCTCAGCGCTGTCTTCATCAGCTGATAGTAAGACTCCTTGAACAAACTCTCAGCAGGTCCTGCAATACAATCATAACTCAGAATTGGATTGCCTAAATGAACAGTTGTGGCAAACAACGGTGTTGTTAGCTTACCAACAGGGTCTGAGGAATCGGTTATAATGATGTCAAAGGCATCCTGGTTCTTCTTCATGAATTCAAAGCCGTCTCCAACATGGAGGGTGAGCTTGGGACTGTAAAACCCTTTGGCCATCCCTGGGAGGAACTTCTTCGACGCATTAATGACATCCTTCACAGAAGACATGGAAATGAGCAGTGATTACTTAGATCAGTGGTTCTCAAACTTT